TAGCAGCCACATTTTATAAAACTCCACTAATGAAGTTGTCAAAGATTTACCCATTTCAAATTCCATTTATTTATTCTCTTTCTACTAGAAGGACCCAAGAGGAGATAGAGGACTTTTTCTTTTTGGGGTTATAACATAGATGAAGCTGGGCTAGAAGACTTTCCCAAAGGCCAAGATATAATGAGAGGAAAATAAACACTGAAAGGGAACAGGTCTAAATGACATGACTTACAGGCTATAGCTAACCCATCATCACTTAGGAGTTCATTAAGTGGACCCCGTCTTGCTGTCCCCTCACAGCCTTGTTAGGACAGAAGCCATCTTTTTGGTTGTTGTTCATTGGTTAATTTTTTTCCTTTTTTAAATTGAAGTAGGGTTGATATACAATATTACATAAGTTACAGGTGTACCATATAATGAGTCACAATTTTTGAAGGTTACACTCCATTTATAGTTATAAAATATTGGCTATATTCCTTGTGTTGTACAGTATATCCCTGTAGCTTATCTTATACATAATAGTCTGTGCCTCTTAATCCCCCACCCCTCTATTGCCCTTCCCCACCTTCCCACTGGGAACCACTAGTTTGCAGAAGCCACCTTAAATACCCATTATCCAAGGGGGCCCCCTTCAAGTCTCCCTCCATTGACCAATGTCCATACCCCGGTCAGGGAAGCTCAAAGGGAGCCTGGAGTTCTTGTCCCTTTCTGAGATCTTCTGTGTTTCATTTTCTCCTGAAAGACCAGCCTCCCACCCAGTGACTGTCGTCAGGAATGCCCACTCCCTTTAGGGGAGACCATGCACACCCTCCACAACATCACAACGTAATCACGTCATTAAAATAGTGCAAGCCAGTACTCTAAATGGAGGTACACATGGAAAAATAAGGCGTCTTTTAGTTCCCAAAGATACTATAGGAGGAGGGTACCAAAATTGTAAAGGCATAAAAACCGCAGAGCTAGTTAAGGTTCTGCGGGTGATCTGGTGTGACTAATGAGCATAGTGCATTTGGCAGAATTACAAAAGGAGAGGCCAGACCAGACCATGGAGAACTTTGTGTACCAAACCGAAGTTGTAATGGTATAGCACTCCCAGAAATAAAATTATGTGTGCTAATCCAACAGCCTCGTGATTTGGGATATTAAATGGACGGACTTTCAGAGGATCAGAGCTGTACTTCCAGGCCATTAGTCTATGCGAACAAAAATGCTTTTGTTACCCACGAATTGGCACATGACTCCTGATATCAGTGTGGGTGTGACATATTTCCTCTTTGGTGTTGGTTAAATTATCTTATCGATACTGGCAGGTTAGGAAAATGACTTATCTCAACTGGAACATTTATTCAGGAGTGTTTTCTTTATGTTTTCCAAACTGGAAACAAACAGTGCCTACAACTTTGCGAAGATGAAAACACCACAAGGAAATACTAGTTATAAGTTGTTCTTTTTAGAATACTGTTTCTCCTCCTCAAAAACAAAGTGCTAATTCTATTTTTTATCACTCTTTTGCATCATCAAAAGGGCAAATATTTCTTGATAAATCCTCATCTGTTGATTAGCTTTCACAACACAGCAACTCTCTTACTGATGTGACTCTCATAGCTCTGCTTCATCGGGGGGTACTGTTTCTACTTTGAAAAGAGAGCTCCCAGCTGCGCCCACCTCACCCTCCATATCCACAGCCAGCATCTCGGTGCAAGCTCAGCCTTCCTCACTGGGGCTGTTGCAACTGCAGTCCCACAGGTCTCTCCAGTGCTATTCTTGCCCCCATCTTTCTTCCTTCCTCTCATAAAAGGCTAAGCCTTTTATGCAGTGGAAGCCATGGGCCTATTTGTATTTCAAATGGATTACTTCACCGTCCGGAGCCTGTGCTCTGCAACGGGAGAGGCCACAACAGTGAGAGGCCCGTGTACCGCAAAAAAAAAAAAAAAGATTAAAATGAGCAGTCCGTTTACTTTATTCCAAGTTATTTCTTTAAAAATTTGGGGGTATGTTTTAGGCATTTTGAGAATTCTGTTGTTTACTTATATTAAAAGTCACACAGAAACCAATGTAGAAGGTAAAACTTTGTATAGATAAACATTGAGAAGATATGCCTGGATTATAATATCTAAGATAACTTGTGTTTTTTATTCTCCGAACACAAATTGCCACAAATCAGACTATTCTGGTTCCTTCTCAGTTAGTTCTGTGGAGCCATGCTTTGGTAATGTCTTCCGTCGCGATATTATAATACACAGTCTATTTTAATTTAGTTTTTACAAGATGCTAACCACTCTTCACATGTTAGTGTCATCTAAAAATATAGAACCACAGCATTTTAGATCTGGAAAGATCCTCGGAATTGTTTATGTTGACAGTGTTCCCCACTTTGTTTTGTTTTGTTTTGTTTTTTTTCGGTACGCGGGCCTCTCACTGTTGTGGCCTCTCCCGTTGCGGAGCACAGGCTCCGGTCGCGCAGGCTCAGCGGCCACGGCTCACGGGCCCAGCCGCTCCGCGGCATGTGGGATCTTCCCGGACCGGGGCACGAACCCGTGTCCCCTGCATCGGCAGGCGGACTCTCAACCACTGCACCACCAGGGAAGCCCTGTTCCCCACTTTTGAAGGGTTGGGGAATACTATACTTCATGGTGCTGCTTCCCCAAGTTCTCTGTTTTGTCTTAAAAATATGATTAAAAGTTAGAACCTAGTGATAGCACAGAGCAGTATTAAATCATTAATAATTATTCATTATATATAAGCTCCAGAAAAAGCCAATACCAGTTGATATGCAGTGGTTCCAAGGAGTTCGAAGAATAGAAATCAAAGACAGACACTTTGATGGCAGGTGGCATCCTTTAGAGGTCCTTTCTACTGCTCCTACACACACACCCACACAGTGACCAGTTGACAGAGCTTCTCTTTGAGTGTTTAACTTCCCTCTCTGAAATAAAACTGAGGACTTCCCTGCTGGCGCAGTGGTTAAGAATCCGCCTGGGGACAATGCAGGGGACATGGGTTTGATCCCTGGTCCGGGAAGATCCCGCATGCCGCAGAGCAGCTAAGCCCATGTGCCCCAACTACTGAGCCTGCGCTCTAGAGCCCACGAGCCAGAACTACTGAGCCCGCGTCCCACCACTACTGAAGCCCATGTGCCTAGAGCCCGTGCTCCTCAACAAGAGAAGCCACCGCAATGAGAAGCCCACGCACCGCAACGAAGAGTAGCCCCCGCTTGCCGCAACTAGAGAGAAAAGCCCGTGCGCAGCAACAAAGACCCAACGCAGCCAATAAATAAATAAATAAATTTATTAAATAAAATAAAATAAAACTGAGGTATTAAAAAAAATGAGCAAGGTTAAAAGTAGGAGTCGTTACAAATGTAGCATATGCTCGCACACATGCCCGAACGCAAACTCAGCCACTTATAGTTCGGTCACCCTGCCACGTGTTAAAGAGCTTACTTTGGCTCAGAATCAGGGTCATGTTACGTTATAAAGTTTAATTCCAAAGGAAAGAATTTTTTCTTTCTTTTCATTTGGCTTGTGGGATTACAATACATTGTATAGAGCTAATCTTAGCCAAGGATTACCATAATCATAAAGCTAATTCCTTTCTCTGACATTAGTCTCAGTTGATTTATACAAGAATTATTGAACGTTAGCCAAAATTGGACCAGCCTTCAGTGACTTAGCTCAGTTTTATTTCCTGTTTGATTTGAAATATCAAAATTTGATATTTTCCAAATTCATTGACTAGAATATGCATATTTATGATAAATTCTTCATAATATCTGATTATTTATTACTCAGGACTTTGGGATCTCTCCAGTAGTTTAAATTAATATTTTGATTCTTTCATATCACCACAGAATTTTTTCATTTATTGTATTTAAAGGATCGTCTTTGTTTTCTTTTATAAGAAACTATTCTTCACTTTTCTTTTTTCCTTTTCTAATTTTTTGGTAGTTTCTCCATTTTTTATCATTCCTTTACAGAGGATTTCTATAAATTAATCCTCTAGGATACAGTCTTTCTTAGAACACAGTTAGGTGAACATATCAGTGTTTTTTTGTTTTGTTTTGTTTTGTTTGTTTTTCTTTTTTGCAGTACGCGGGCCTCTCACTGTTGTGGCCTCTCCCGTTGCGGAGCACAGGCTTCAGATGTGCAGGCTCAGCGGCCATGGCTCACGGGCCTAGCCTCTCCGGGGCATGTGGGATCTTCCCAGACTGGGGCACGAACCCACGTCCCCTGCATCAGCAAGCAGACTCCCAACCGCTGCGCCACCAGGGAAGCCTGCGTATCAGTGTTTAATTAAATAAATTGTCTTCTTTCATTAGTTCTTATTATAACTATTTCTTTATTATATACTTTAGTAAAGCTAACCCCAGCTCCAGTCTCCAGTCTCTGGCCTTTCAGTGACATCTATCCTAAATTTTATTTCTATATCTAATAAAGGGATTGTTTCAGTTATCTTCTGGTGCATAACAAACTGCCCCAACATTTAGTGGTTTAAAAGAATCATTTTATAATTTCTCATAATTCTGAGGATTTATCTAGGGCTCAGCTGGATGGTTCTTCAGCTGGTCTCTTTCAGAGCCTCTCATGAAGCTTCAGTCTATGGCACATGGGGCTGGAATGTCCACAGTGGCTTCATTCTGGCCCCTTGGTTGGAAGACTGGGCTCAGCTGGGACACTGGGACAGCCAAACCTCTCCCTCTTCACATGGCCTCTTAACATGGTTTCTCCAGCATAGTAGCCCACTTTTTACATGGCAGCTCAGGACTTTCAAAAGGACAAAAGTGGAAGCTCGTAGGCCTTGTTAAGCCTCAGTCCCAGTATCAATTTTGTTGCTTCAAGAGGGCCATGAGGTCAGCCCATGTTCAGTTTGGAAGGAAATACACAGAGCATGAGTACTGGAAGGTGTGGCTCGTTGGGGGCCATATCTGGAGACCAGCTACCACATGTTAGGTCTTCCTTTCTCTCTATTAAGACTTCAATTCCTCTCTACTCCTTTTTCAGTTTCCTGTGTCTCTGGTGGTCTGCCTAAACCTACAAATATAACCTTCTTATCTATAAACATGAAGAATATCCTACAGTGGAACCCACCACAGGGCCTACAAGGAGTGGAAGTTACTTATTCTGTGCAGTATTTCATGTAAGTTGGTTCTTTTCGTTTTGGCTAATTTATAAGCACAAGACTCAGACTCCTATTAATTGTGCAAAGATAAACCATCTATTGTATTAAATGAGTGAGGAAAAAGAAAGGTTTTAGATATTTCATGTAAAATTGTCTCATTGTGTTTTGTTAGATTAAATTAGACAACAGTTTCTTCATGGAAACAGAGTATTGAGTACTTAGGCAAGAAGAAGTTATTTAAATGGAGAAAAGAAGTCTGTCAAAACGTTATTCTGTGGCTGAGCAAACAAGGAAATCCATCACCTCTGAAACATCTATACTTATTAGAATTATAGTATATTTTTAAGTGAAACTGAGTGCAGAATTCTGTACAACTCACAGTTTTTATTAAAGATAATAGTGAATGGACATTTTCACTTTTCACCTCTCGCTCAACGCTCACTGCAATCAAGAAGGAATGCAAAATGGTAAGTGGGTGTGTGTTAGATCCTCACTCCTATACCCACTCACCTAATATTTAATAAAGAGCTGGCTCCATTCAAAGAGTAATTGTCCCAAAGAATCCAGCACACCTATCCCTAATTACTGAAAGGGAGAAAGACAAAACGAACACAAGTCAAACATTCCTGAAAGCTTTCTCATGGAAATTAAAGAAAAATTCAGACAAATAATGGTTCAGAGTTTGAATCCATAAACAACATGTTCTCTAATGGTAAACCTCAAAGAAGGGATAACAGTCAAAGAAGAGGTTCTAAGACAAGAAGAAGAACTTTTTTAAAAAGCACGGTGGCAGAACTTAGGAAGGAGATGGAAAATAAAAATGTTATGTAGAGATGAAAAACCTATTATAGCTAACAGGTAGTAATAATTGAACAGGTAATAATGACTACCTGGAATTGCATATCGTAAATGCATGCTCTGTCTAGGAAAATTTAATAAAGATAATAGGAAGACATATCTTGGTAAAGTTATTTAACTTTGAAGAAAATGAAATGATTTATGACCGTCACAGCAAAAGCAATGATTTCTATCTGGCAACACTCAGTTCATGACAGTGATGTATCTTCTGAGGGAAAAATAAGTGTGACCTAAGACTCTTACCAAGTTCAGCAAATATATTTTTTGTATTTTCAAGCAGGTTGAACTTGGGCTGTCACTCCCCTGAGACCTTCTTGCAGGCTGTGGTAGGGAGGGAACACTAACTAAAGATGATATCCAACTGACAGAGGGATAAAGATGAGCCTAAACGAACTTAGAAATGACAAGATTTTGGCAAAAAGGGAGCAGGTATTGAAACTATCTAAATGTAGAACTAAGACTAGTGATGGGAAATATGGTTACAGAACTTTCTTGTAAATGTTTGAACCTTATCAATAATATAACAAATCAGAAGGTGGGGAAAAACTGTATATGTACTGACTTCCGTAGCATGAAGCCATTATATGTGATCCAAAATGAAAATATGTCATCATTTTAATAAGTAAACTCTCAATATCTTTATACACAATTTTCTTAATTTAAAAGATCTTTTTAAGAACTAATATCTCATGTGGTGATGAAACATTTGAACTGCAGTGATTCATTTCATTTTAATTTCTTTTTCTTCAAAGTTTGAATGAAGTTAAATTTACTACTTTTATTAAAATCATAAGTATGGCATAACCTAGCTTTTGTCTATATATTCAGCTATTGAATCATTCCTCTGGGTACATATAAGCATAATGAGATGTGCAGAATCGTGTGTACCAAATGTTTCAGGGTAATGGGCTTCAGGGTAATTTATTTCTCTCTCGGTTATACTTTTCTGATTGCCTGAGTTTGAAAACTGTACCATATTTACAAAAAAGAATAACATCATTTTTGTCTTTGAAAAGAAAATTCTGAGGCGATATGGGGATATATGTATATGTATAGCTGATTCACTTCGTTATACTGCAGAAACTAACACACCATTGTAAAGCAATTATACTCCAATAAAGATGTTAAAAAGAAAAGAAAAGAAAAGAAAATTCTGACCATTAAAGGCAGTGAAAGACTTTGGCTGCTACCCACAATGACCTCGTTTATCTAGAACTTCATTCTCATTGCCGAAGAATTTCTCAGGAACCAGTATTTTAGGGAAGAGGCATCACTCTGCCAGGAGAAATGGCTCATGAGTGTGTCCTTGTCTCCTTTTTCATTAGGTGGAGCAAGGAGCTTGTTCTATTCTTTATGTGTTTATGTGATTCAGAAAAGGATTTAAAAAGAGAGAGAGAGTAATCACTGCTCTGTGAGAGTAGATAATTTAGATTTCATAAATTTCAGAAAAGAATATTTGAAAAGAAACTTGCCATGGTGGAGTTCTTACATGCCTGTGAATGCGGACAGTGGGCAGGAATACAGGGCCGTTTGTGTCACTGACAGGGCCCCAGGCTCAGTTCCAAAGACAAACAGTCCTGGGATCATAGCCAGACTGTGAACCTAAATGGGTAGCCTTGGGCAGGTTACATATTATACTTTTTTACTTTTGAGTGAAGTTTGTTTCTAAGCAAAAAATGAAATTTTAACAAAAGTTTAAATTATATCTACCCAAAGAATTTAATGCTGAGAATAGAGTGTAGCATTAAAAGCACAAGCGTTAGCATCAGGGAAAAGTGGTTCAAATCCCAGATATGCCTGTTATACTAGTCAGACTGCCTTGAGCAGCTCCCTTAATATCACTGAGCCTCAATTTCCTCATCTGTAAAATGGGATGAAAATAACGGTACCTACCTCCTAAGGTTATTATGATAATTAAATGAGATAAAGCTTTCAAATCCTAAGCAGCAGTCCAAGCGCATAATAGGCACTTGATAAATATTTCCTGCCGTTACCAGAAATCAGAGGCCACTGAGGGCCCCGCATGACTTTTTGACATGCATGAACATCATTACTGTAGTATTTATTGAATGATTCATGTCTATCAGCTTGTCAGACTTACAAAGCATTTTGTCCAGAATTCAGTAAAGAGCGTTTCTCCTTCATTGACATCTGTCATGGGAAGCTGCCTTGCCCTTGGCAAAGTCAGGAAATTTGAGGAGAAAAGGTCAAATAGGGGATGGCAATATTTTTCAAACCACAAGTCAAGACCTGTTGGTGGGCCATGAAGTCAATTTTGAGGGACATAACTAGCATCTTTTTTTTTTTTTTTTTGCGGTACACGGGCCTCTCACTGTTGTGGCCTCTCCCGTTGCGGAGCACAGGCTCCGGACGCGCAGGCTCAGCGGCCATGGCTCACGGGCCCAGCCGCTCCGTGGCATGTGGGATCTTCCCGGACCGGGGCACGAACCCGTGTCCCCTGCATCGGCAGGCGGACTCCCAACCACTGCGGGAAGCCCTAGCATCTTTTTTTTAACGGGAAGGATTAGAATGGTGTGGAGTGGATTAGAATGGAAAATAACTAAGTGCCTGGCATGTTGTAAAGTTTAGGTATTATCTTCCAAGACCTTTGTTTTAGTATGTTGGATATATGTGTGAACTGGGTCACACTGTGAAATGTATTTCTTTCTATGGCTCACAGTCAATAAAAAGTTTGAAAGCCCCTCAGCATGGTGATTACTTGAATGGAGAAATTGTTCAACAAGATCTAACTATATTTCTAATATAGTTAGTTTTCTGGTAGCTATGGTACTTATGAAACAGGAGACATTTACTTTCAAGACTCTGCTGCCATATTTTGAAAAGAGAAGATACCCTTAAGCTTTGGCAACACTTGATAAAGTTGACATTTCCTCCTTCTCAACACCCAGTCTTCCCTTGACTTTTGTGATGTCTGTTTTTCCTTCTCCCTCTTTACCTGCTATTTCTAAGTGTACTTTGTATCTCACCTTTATTTTTTTAAGAAATTTATTTATTTTATTTATTTATTATTTTTGGCTGCGTTGGGTCTTCGTTGCTGCACGTGGGCTCTTCTCTAGTTGCGGTGAGCGGGGGCTACTGTTCGTTGTGGTGCGCGGGCTTCTCTTGTTACGGAGCATGGGCTCTAGGCATGTGGGCTTCAGTAGTTGTGGTACACGGACACAGTAGTTGTGGCTTGCGGGCTCTAGAGCGCAGGCTCAGTAGTTGTGACGCACGGGCTTAATTGCTCCGTGGCATGTGGGATCTTCCCGGACCAGGGATTGAACCCATGTCCCCTGCATTGGCAGGCGGACTGTCAACCACTGCGCCACCAGGGCAGTCCCTGTATCTCACCTTTAAATCTTGCTGCTCCTGAAATTTTATCCTAGGCTTTGCTTTGTCTCCATGGGTAATTTCATTCATGCCTGTGCCTTCCATGAGCAGCTTTATGCCATAGATTTCAAAATCCCTACCTCCCACTCACCCCTTTCTCCTGAGCTCCAGCGCCTTCTGAGCATCCGCATTTGGATACCTTTTACGTATCTTAAGCTCAAAATGTCAAAAACTAAATTCATTATCTTTCCCTCCCCCCTCCTCTCCCCATTTCCCAAACCCACTCTTCTTCCGCATTCCTGATCTTGGTAGATGTTACCACCATTCCACCCAACTAGCCCGGACAGAAAGAGACATCATCCTTAACACCTTCTTTTCCCTCATCTCTCTCATGCACTCAATCACCAAGTCTTGTCTCCTAATATTTTTTCCTTTTGTCCTGTCATTCATTCCACTGCCACCATCCTTGTGCAAGCCACCTACCTCTTCCACCTGGACCACTCTAGCATTCTCTCAACTGCTCCCCAGTCAGCCACCCTTGACCCATTACATTCTCTACGCTACCACCAGAGTTAGCTGTCTAAAAGCCCGACACACCTGCTTTAATCCTTTCAGTAGCCTCTCACGCAACCCTGTCTCTTTCACCTGGCTCTTCCCATGTCACTTAAACTCTCAATACCTCAGTCTCTTCCACCTGAGAAATGCTAAAATATTTCCCACCTCCTATTTTCTATGGGTGCTATGTTTTTAATAAAGGAGAGGAAAAACAGATGTGAACAACCTAGTTAATATCATCATCATCACTATGATCATTGAAAATGCTGATTTCGGAATGCACTCCAACCTAGTGAATTTTCCCCAGAACCCTTGAGGGCAAGTATATTTTTAAATTTTATGAGAATGTCAAGAAGAATTTCCAAGGAAAAAAATGACTAATTTTTCTTAAAACAATCCATCCAAAAAAAAAAAAGACGCATCAAACTGACCTTGGTATGCATGTGGGCTAAAAATTTACATAGAAGAATTGATCACACAATCTGTAAAATGTTTACTGTGGGCCAAGCCTAATAATAAAATACATGCTTTCAAAATGTACTGTCCACATTATAATTCACAGAAAAGAAAGGTGATTATAGAAACTCTGACTCATGTTCCTGACAGCTAATGAAAAAATTTGCCAGCAGCAAAATTAGATTCTTTTTTATCTCAGTGACAAGCACTTTTGTTGTTCTGAAGAGAAGGTCTTAAGTTCCATTCAGTTTTATATAATAACTGTTTTGTTTTTTTTTCCTACTGTAAAGCATAGAGAGCACCTCACTGTTAATTCACAGTTTCCTTCTCAGCAGATATGGGCAAAAGAAATGGCTGAATAAATCCGAATGCAGAAATATCAGTAGGACCTACTGTGATCTCTCTGCTGAAACTTCTGACTACGAACGTCAATATTATGCCAAAGCTAAGGCCATCTGGGGAACGAATTGTTCTAAATGGGCAGAAACTGGACGATTCTATCCTCTTTTAGAAAGTAAGTAACACAGTTGTTTGTTAAACATGTATCAATATCAAGTTCATCTGACTCCCTAATGTAACAGTCTCTGCCTCATAGACAGCCTTGTCGAGGCCAGCGCTCTGCACTCTGTCGATCAGGTGAAGTGACCAGCCCAAGGTACTTCACCTTGCTGCATCTCAGAGTCTCATCTTTAGAATGAAAGTTTTGGCCAAGTGTCTCTAAGATTGCTCCCGGATCCAGAATTGACGCTAGATGCCAATAATTTTTTTTTTCTTTTTTTGCGGTACGCGGGCCTCTCACTGTTGTGGCCTCTCCTGTGCAGAGCACAGGCTCCGGACGCGCAGGCTCAGCGGCCGTGGCTCACGGGCCCAGCCGCTCCGCGGCATGTGGGATCTTCCCAGACCGGGGCACGAACCCGTGTCCCCTGCATCGGCAGGCGGACTCTCAACCACTGCGCCACCAGGGAAGCCCATGCAAACACTTTTAATTATATTTACTGTCATCTAGTACTGTTTAGCCATGTGACTAGGAACTACATGTGACTAAGTAAATTTGCTGCTTTAACGTTCTATCAGTGTGTGACATGATTGTTTCAAGATTCGGTATCACTTGGGCCCACCTAGAGCATTCTGAGGCATCTCAGATAAGAGGGTGGGCTTTAGAGCTTTGATCCCAGTAGGATTATATTGTTTCATCCGAGGTGATTTCTACATCTGAACATGATCATTCCCTCTCCCCTCCCCTTTAAGCACAAATTGGCCCACCAGAGGTTGCTTTGACTACTGATGAGAAATCCATATCTATTGTTCTGACGGCTCCAAAGAAGTGGAAGAAAAACCCAGAAGAAAGCTCTATTTCCCTGGAACAAATATACTCTAATCTGAAGTATAATGTGTCCATACATAATACTAAATCAAATAGAACGGTAAGCCTGAAATGGAATGGGGACCTATCATTTGTGTCACTTTTTGCAGCTAATGCTGGAACACACAGCCCTGATGCTTAAATTCTCGGCATGTGAATCTGGGAAGGTGTGACATTCAAAAGTGTCGCCATACAAGATACAGTTGAAGCTGATGTGTAGAAATTTTCAAAACTGCCTTCAGATTTCCTTTACAGAAAGTCTCTGCTATGATGTTGCTGTGGGTGTGTAGAGCAATTGTCCACCTCACTTTGATGGAGAGTTTTTACTTGCTTAACATCTGTCAGTCACTCTCCAAGAAAGAAAAACATATCAGCAAGAACCCAGGACAAAGTGGAAGAAGAAATCCCTCCTCATGTCATTATTTAGAATTGTTCCCACAATTTGCCCAGTCCCTAACTGGGACTGCCAAGCTGAAGGAAAAGGATGTTTAAAAAAAAAAAAGCTCTTAGTGATAGTAAAGGACTTACTGGTACCTCAGTCTTCTGTTTCCTTCTAAAGTTACTTGTCTGGGGTGGTGCTGGAAATCTCTGGCTCTAACTGCTCTTCGCAATCCCCTATCCTAGTGGTCCCAGTGTGTGACAAACCGAACGCTGGTATTCGGCTGGCTGGAGCCGGACACTCTGTACTGCGTCCTCGTGGAGTCCTTCGTCCCAGGCCCTCCTCGCCTTGTTCAGCCGTCTGAGAAGAAGTGTGTCAGTACTTTGAAAGGTAAGCTTTGAGAATCTCAGCTGGTCTGAGGTAGGAAATCTGCTAAAACTAGAAGGAAGGATGGTGGTGTAGACAAGGTTTTGAAAATCCGTGTCTACCAGAAACAGGCTGAAGTGCAGGCAGAAACAACCACCACCAGAAATGCACTGAGCAGCCCGGGACTCTACCATTGAACTTGGCTCACAGTAGGGAGTGTTTTCACCTCCTAGGGCACTCTTAGCACCAGTCCAACAAGACTCTACCTTGGGAAAGAAAAATTATAGGAATTTTTACACACACGGCTTTTCTTCTTTCAAACTATAATCACTCTGATCAGTAGAAGTTCTGTGGTCTTTAAGAACATCACATGAGTTTATTCCTAGGAACAAAGCAGTATCCTAAAAACACGTTACGACAGAGTCTTTTGCTCCCCCTCGGGAATACAAATTATAGGCGCTGCAGGTTGTGTTCAGATATCACTCACTGTGCAAGGCTGTGCAAGGGCCTGGGATCAGCAAATCAGTTACTACTCCCTCACTCTTATAGTTGCTTCTCTCTCTTTCCTTTTATTTGTCTCCTCGTGTTTTCTGAACTTGGCTGCCAAGGAAGTGTGGTTGAAGATTCTCGTTCCTGTTAGGAGACTAGAGTTATAGGAGCTTGGCGTTTGTTTAATTGTTCTCCCCTGAGGGTGGTAAGACCCTGAACTCAAAACCTAAAAATTGAAAATAAATCCTAAAGTTTACCTTCATTGAATGGCTCTTCATCCATTCTTGTTTCTCTCTTCCAAATGTGCTGGCCTTCCAAACGTCACAATCATTTTCCCCAAGACTTGGTTCCGTCACCAGCTATGGGACAGGGATGCTGACAGAACCCCTGTTTTCCTCTCCCCTCAAGCCTCCCACATTTCGAGATGAAACTGTCCTAAGGATTAAAAAGGGAATTTTGTGAATACATATCAGAAGTGAAAAGCTTTATTTTTGAATCTCCATCATTATCATACCTTTCCCTTTAAAATGAAGGGTTCTCTACCATATGTCAAATATCAATAAAATTAAAATGCAAGGCAAGCAAAAGGCAAAGCAAAGCAGATTGAGGAAATCATTTTTGTATTTGGAAAAGTGCTCTGTTTACTAACAGCTTGATCAGTGGGCAAATGGTAGGAATGAATTCCCAGTGGAAATCATTTAAGCCATTGGCAGAGCTAAAGCAACTAAAGTACAGATTAAATGAAATACTTCCCAGTAAGCAGAAGGAGCTGACCTTCTCACTAGTCCTGGAACGGTAATAACAAGGTACCATTTCATGGTCTGACCTTTCTTGATATCCCAGCTGTTAGAGCACCCCAGATACCTTTCCAAGACACAATTATGAGGGTCTACTTTTTCAAAAACTCACTATTACCTCTTTGGGGACTATTCTTTGAAATATTTCTGCTCTCCACAATCCCCCAATTCCTAAAATACAGATACAGTTTATTAGTTGGTTGTTGCAAACATGTGCTGGTGTATACTAAGTGCCTTCAGTCATTGTTGTCATGGCTCTGTTTATCAGGATGAGTTTGGTCCAGAGGCCAGGGATTGTATTAAGAGGACTGGATTGATTGGGATTGACATATACACACTACTATATGTAAAAGAGATAACTAATAAGGACCTACTGTATAGCACAGGGAACTCTACTCAGTACTCTATAATGACCTATATGTGAAAAGAATCTAAAAAAGAGTGGATATATGTATAAGTATAACTGATCACTTTGGTGTACACCTGAAACTAACACAACATTGTAAATCAACTATACTCCAATAAAAATTAAAAAAAAAAAAAGGACTGGACTGAGTTGTAGCCTGAAGTAGGGGCAGGTGATGCTCAGCCATCTGCAACATCTGCATTATTGGCATCTTTCTATGTGGAACCTGTTGACAGATGTGCTCTTTGGGATGGAAGAGCCTGCAGCTGGACCCCCATACCTGGGCTTTTCCCACTGGCTATTGTTGACCAGAAGTCCATGATACTTCTGTTTCCACTCTTTAACTAGACAGTTGACCAGACAGTAACTTAGCTGCTCTCTCCCAGGACTAGGCATCAAGAGTACCCAACGTCTGCAATGGGTTAGAATACTCCCACGACACGCCTGCTGATTGTATTAGTATGTAAGGAATGCCCTAGAACTTCTGTCATTTGTGCTAAATGCTGTAGTAGTCAGGGTTCTCCATAGAACACAATATACATAATCTTTATGTATAAATGTACACACACACACACACACACACACACACACACACACACACACACATCAAGACGGAGATAGAGACTTATTTTAAGGACCTGGCTCACATGATTTTGGAGGTTGGTAAGTTAAAAGTCTGCAAGGCTGGAGACCTAAGGAAGAATTTAGGGTGCAGTTCTTATCTGAAGGTGATCAGCTGGCAGAATTCACTCTTCTGGGACATGATCAGTCTTTTTTCTATCAAAGCCTTCAACTGATTGGATGAGGCTCACCCTCATTATAGAGGGCAATCTGCTTTACTCATGTCTACTAATGTAAATGCTAATCTCATCTAAAAAATGCTTTCACAGAAACATCTAGAATAATGTTGGACCAATTAACTGGGTACTGTGGCCTAGCCAGATGGACACATAAATTTAACCTTCACGATTTACAAGTACTCCACAGGAGCTTAACAAATATAAATTAGTCACAATGAGTCCTATCTATCAAGCATATAGTCTGATCCATGGTGATCCAGGGCTACTTTTCTTAAAACTACTCACCAGATCTTTTCATTTCTCTATGGACTTTTAAACTCATCATGAACCTACGGCACAGCAGGACCACGGAGGGAGTTACTGCCATTCTCAGCACACACCAGCTCAGCTGCCTCTCCACACATCCCCAAGCTCCAGACCTACCAGAAAGCCTGGCCAGCTGTGTAAGGATGATTCTGTTTGTCACACAGAAGATGATGCCATACATTCGTGGCAAGGTCCTGAATAGGTGGAAAAGATTGAGTCAAATGAGGGGCGTGGAAACGTGGGGCAGCTTAATGGGATCTTCACAAGAAGGTTTTGTTGTTTGGTTTGAAGTGCTGTGAGTTACTTGAGTATCAGGCACACTTTTCTGCAAATAGAAGAACCGGCATGAATCTCATAGCCAGATGTAAAATGCTGGAATATCTGCTGACCTGGGTTGTTAAGGCATCCTTGCTGTAAAGGTTGGAGACAAGTCCAGATGATTCCTGAAGCCCATCTATTGTCAGAGAGAGTAAGAATTCTGAGATCCCTTCTAACATTTAGCTCAAGCTTCTCAATTTATAAATGAGAAAACTGAATTCCCAAAAGTAACTGATCTCTCCAAAGCTTCTTGACGTTACCAGTGTTTTCCCACCACACCAAATCACAGCTGTCTACCCCACCCTACTTTTCTTTTTACAGATCAAACATCAACACTGAAGGTTAAAGTCATCTTCTGCTATGTTTTGCCCATATCTGTTACTGTGTTTATTTTTTCTGTGATGTGCTACTCCATGTACAGATATACCTACGTCGGCAAAGAGAAACACCCAGCAAATCTGGTGAGTGCCTAGAGTGGTAGGAGGCTTTATAACACACCCAGGAAGATAGAAAAGGAGGTTCTAGAACAGATACCGTTCCTTTTATGGGCAGAGTGAGTTTCAAGTTAAAGAGTTGATGAATTAAAAACACTTTCTGTACTAGACTAACTCAGTACCATAACCAAAGAGAAAGATTCCTTAACTTTTGACAAAGATTTTATATTTATGGAACAGATCAGACTAGGTCTTGAGGTACACAGATAAATTGTCATGACCCATGCCCCTCCGAAGGCTTAAGTCTAGTTGGGGACTAGAAGTTTTAAAGGATATGTGAAGACTAAGATGAAAGTGGGTTCTAGGGACTCTTGCGGGTACAGGAAGGGTGCTGGCACCCTACGTGGAGGATCGGAAGTTTCATGCTTGGGCTTGGTCGTGAAAGTTCAGTAAGAGTTAGGGCACCTACCTCAAGCGGAAGAAACAGCAGGGGCAAAGGTAGGAGGATGTTTGGGAAAACATATAATATTGCAAAACCATGAGGTTCCTGATGAGAAGCTATGAAAGAAGAGACTGGAGGGTGAGGGGGTAAGGCCAGATAATGGGAGAATTGGGGAGCTATTCTAAGGACCTTGGACTTCATTGTGTTTGCAAAACTCTGTAGGGTTTTGAGCTAGGATCATTATGGTCAAGATTGAGTTTTAGATACAACTGGATAGTGTTAAAGACAACTTCAGGGGGAGGAAGACTAGAAACAAACAAACAAACAAACCCAGCTAGGAGACTGTGGGAGTTGTCCAGGAGAGAGAAGATGAGAGTCTAAAAGAGGAGAGGGGGATATAGGGCTGGAGACAGACACGGAATGGAAACACGTTTAGGGGGAAAGCGGCCAGGGCTTAATCATTCACAGCAAGGAGAAGCAAGAAAGTAAAAGAAGGAACAAACCTTATGCTTCTGGACCATGTACTGGAGGTTTCCCAAGGCTGAGCATATTTTAACAATCAAAAACTATTTCTTTGGGAATTATCAAAATACGTGTTCACGTGTACACGATACATACATGCATTCCTGTTAGTTCTGTTTTTAAATGTTTCTATTATTCTGCCTTCATTTAGGTTTCAGAGTTAGCTTTTCAATGACGTAGGGAGACCTTTCCTAGGAGGAAAAAGCACAGGAGAACTGACAGCCTGTGACTTTCTGAAACCCACATTTTTGTAAAAGAAAGATGCTGAAGTTCCTATTTTGTAGTTAAATGAAATCACATCATAGGGTGGATAATGAGAATTGTAACATAACTCATCATTGACAATCTAAACAGGCACCTTCCATGTATTGCCAGCAAAACTTTAACCTTAAACAAGTTTTCCTGACATGATTTAGAGTTTCTCTCTCTGCTATAAATTGGCAGGTGAATTTCCATTTTGGGCCCTATTATAGCGTGATTAGTTTGGTGTATGGGGGAAGTAAGTAAAACCATCTCTATTCATGTGCTTGTTTCTCTTTTTACACCTAGTTTTCATGCCCTCCCACATTTCCTGTCCAGCGTATATGCAAAAAAGAGCTGGTAGCCCAGAGGATGGCTTATTGATAAACACATAGTACACTGTAATTAATAAAGCAATTTCAAAAACTCTCAGTCTTCACCACTCCTGACACAGCAGAAATTCTGATTTTACAGAATTTAAAAAAGGAGGCTCAAGAAATTAAATAAGCCCCCTGAATTCCCTCAGCCAGTTAGAGGAAGAGGCGGTCACACCCGATCCTTGGACTGGATCAGGACCACCCAGGGAACCACTCTTCACTGCCATATGCATGTCGTGCATCTTGGGTCTCTTGCCTCAAGGTGAGGGAGTTTTCCGCGTATTCCAAACATAACTTTCACTTCCATGAGTTGGTAAGAATAGGCCTTTACAACTATCTGGGGACGGTATAAATTCTAACTAACAGCTGGTTTTATTGGTTTGTTTGTTTGTTTTTATAATATCTTTATTGGAGCTCAATTGCCCTACAATGGTGTGTCGGTTTCTGCTTTATGACAAAGCGAGTCAGCTATACATATACATATATCCCCATATCCCCTCCTTCTTGCGTCTCCCACCCACCCTCCCCATCCCACCCCTCTAGGTTGTCACAAAGCACCAAGCTGATCTCCCTGTGCTATGTGGCTGCTTCCCACTAGCTATCGATTTTACGTTTGGTAGTGTATATATGTTCATGCCACTCTCTCACTGCGTCCCAGCTTACCCTTCCCCCTCCCCATGTCCTCAAGTCCATTCTCTACATCTGCGTCTTTATTCCTGTCCTGCCCCTAGGTTCTTCAGAACCTTTTTTTTTTTTTAGATTCCATATATGTGTGTTAGCATACGGTATTTGTTTTTCTCTTTCTGACTTACTTCACTCTGTATGACAGACTCTAGGTCCATCCACCTCACTACAAATAACTCAATTTCGTTTCTTTTTATGGCTGAGTGATATTCCATTGTATATATGTGCCACATCTTCTTTATCCATTCATCTGTTGATGGACACTTAGGTTGCTTCCATGTCCTGGCTATTGTAAATAGAGCTGCAATGAACATTGTGGTACATGACTCTTTTTGAATTATGGTTTTCTCAGGGTATATGCCCAGGAGTGGGATTGCTGGGTCATATGGTAGTTCTATTTTTAGTTTTTAAGGAACCTCCATACTGGTCTCCATAGTGGTTGTATCAATTTACATTCTCACCAACAGTGCATAGGGTTCCCCTTTCTCCACACCCTCCTCAGCATTTATTGTTTGTAGATTTTTTGTTGATGGCCATTCTGCCTGGTGTGAGGTGATACCTCATTGTAGTTTTGATTTGCATTTCTCTAATGATTAGTGATCTAACAGCTGTTTTTAATGTCTCTCTAAAGTGAAAAGATGAAAACCATTCTCTTCTCTCTTTATAGATTTTGATTTATGGAAATGAATTTGACAAAAGAGTCTTTGTACCTGCTGAAAAAGTTGTGATTAACTTTATCACCCTCAATATTTTGGAGGATTCTAAAACTGCTCATAAGGATATAAGTGTAATGGAAAAAAGCAATGATGCCTCAGACCTGAATGAGCCCAGCAAGGACCAGGAGCCCCATCAGGAGGAAGTGGAGGTGAAACACCTGGGATATGCTTCACATGTGGTGGACATTGTGTATGACCCTGAGAAAAGCACCCAAGGGACTTCCTTAAGCCAGCAAGAGCCACCCAGCAGGACAATGCCCACAGATAAAACAGTCATCGAATATGAATGTGATGTAAGAACTAGTGACATTTCTGTGGGGCCTGGAGACCAGGAGTTCAATTTGCAGGAGGAAGTGTCCCTACAAGGAAAGTTATCTGAGCAACAGGCAACTTTAGCAGACTTGGGTCCACAAACACTACCATATTCATGTACCCCTCAGCTCAGAGACTTGGACCACCTGCCGCAGGGGCATGTGGACACAGAGGAGGGGCCAGAGGCAGAACCGTCAACCACACTGGTCGATTGGGACCCTCGGACTGGCAGGCTGTGTATACCTTCATTATCCAGCTTTGAACATGACTCAGAGAGATGTAAGCATCCTGAGTCTGAGGGACTCGAGGAGGAGGGCCTCTTATCTAGACTCTACCAGGATCGGGCTCCAGACAAGACACTGGAGGAACATGAAGCCTATCTCATGCAGTTTATGGAGGAATGGGGATTATATGTACAAATGGAAGAATAACACTCAAACGTCCCTTTGCCAGACCTCTACTGTTACAAAACACGTGAGTGCAAACAGATAAGTGACCGAATAATAAAGTACCAGAGACAGAAGTTTACTCGGATTTCTGTGTCAGTGAGAATTACTTATTCCTTCTATTTTCATAGTGCTTGTTTCATTCCGCCTCCTGTGGGTGCTGGGTTGTGCATGCGGGTCTCCCGCACTGATGGTGGGCACCCAGAGTGCAGTGGCTGACCCTCTTTGTACCCAGTAAGTATTCAAAAATGTTGGCCAACTTGGATGCAGAATTTATTCAGGTGGGTGTACTGTGGCCTCTTTATTTATGATTTTCTAACAAGCACTTGTACAATTATTTTCTGGGCCCTTACCAAGCGTATAGCACTGTAAAAAAATACTTCATGAAGACCATTCATTGTATAAGTGCTACTTTTGTAGAATTTGGTTTATTGCCAGAATGATGAGATACTTTAAACATGCAAATACCACTAAGTGGGTGGGAAGTGGTCACATTTAAAGACCTAACCCACTGTTCAATCATAATAATCCATGTTCAGAGTGAATAAATCAGGCACAGATCTTGATGTCATATGCTTTGGGCTACTTTAAGTGGCCATATTAATACTTTAGGAGAAGTTCTCGAGTGTAAACATAAATTGTTGTTATTAGTTTATAGTCAGAAAATGTCCTCTCGCCTTCCCTGGTGGCATAGTGGTTGGGAATCCGCCTGCCAATTCAGGGGACACAGGTTCGAGCCCTGGTCCGGGAAGATCCCACATGCCACGGAGCAACTAAGCCCCTGCACCACAACTACTGAGTCTGCGCTCTAGAGCCCGCGAGCCACAACTACTGAAGCTTGTGCGCCTAGAGCCTGTGCTCCGCAACAAGAGAAGCCACCACAATGAGAGGCCTGCGCACCACAACCAAGAGTAGCCCCCGCTCGCTGCAGCTAGAGAAAGCCCGCACGCAGCAACAAAGACCCAAGGCAGCCAAAAATAAATAAATAAATAAATAAATAAATTTTAAAATGTCCTCTCAATAACTAGCAGAGGCTTTTTAGTAGGGAATTAACCTGAAAAAAAAATGCCACATTTTATAATAGAACAGTACATTTATTTCTGGAAATGTGTTTTTCAAAAGATATTTAGATAATCTATAAACTAGAACATGTTTAGTAGCTGAATCACTGTTACTATTATAATATTAAATATTCTATTTGAATGAGCAGTGCCTTCGAGATTCCTTGGAATATGTGTGAATGAATATCCCATATCTACATAATCTTAAAATCAATAAATAAAGACATACAAAAGAGATAAGTTGAGTTTATATGTAAGGGAGAGTGTATTTGACATAATTTACTGTGGGAATGAAAGTATATCATAAAACAATATCACCCTAGTTAAATTCCAGTAACCATTCCCATCTCCTTCATCATTTGCTTAGAAAATTAAATTCGATAGTCACATTGTATTAAAATATGACAGAATCTGTTAAGTTGAGCCATATAAAATTGTTGATATTTGACTGTTTTTGACCTGCAGAGACAGCAATTTCGTATGATTTACCTTAGCATATGTTTGCTTTAATCATGAGCTCATGATCCATTGATGGTCTTTCAGAAACACAGATATCATCCGTATTTTCTTATTTATATTCTTGGCACAGGCAGACAACCCTGGTAAGAGAGATGGATTCTGAAGTCATGGTCTTTTCAGATTGTCCACAAATCCAAACAGCTTCTGATCTAGTGATTTAATTTAGAGCATAATTCTATTAACCAGAGTGTTCTGTTCTTCTCAATCTTTGTAAAAATAATTCTGCTAATTTTGAAGAACAAATTTATTATTAAATAAATATGTAAGAGAGAGTGTATTAAAATTTTGACATAATTTACTGTGGGAACGAACGTATATCATACAACAATACTACCCTAGCTAATTTCCACTAACTAGTCCCATCTCCTTCACCATTTGCTTCAAAACAGCCAGTTTTGAAGAACAAATTTATTATTACTATAAAGGAAATTCAGGAGTGGGAAAGAATGAGTCGCTATTAAGAGCAAAAAGAAAATAAAACGATTGATGATTGTTTGGCTTATTCATTTCATTCACAAAATACTTACTGAGCATCTACTATGTCCTACAATGTCCTCGTTGTAGGGAGGATAACAACAACCTTAGGGTTACTTTGAGGATGAAAAAGCGTTAGAACGTAGAAGGCATTTAGAACGGTGCCTGGCACATAGCGAGTGTTAGGTGTTTGTTATCGTCGTGCTTAACACCAGGAAAAGAAGCCATTTATATATAGGACTATTTTGATTCAAAGGCAGAGTTTGCCTCTCTTTGTTTCTCTTACCGAAAAGTACAAGAGTAATTTGCTTCCTACTTTATGCCTTCAGATTGAAATCCATCTGTGGTTTTGTAAAAGGGAATCTGATTCTGAGTTGCTTTCACATCTCTTATCATTCTAAGCATATCAGAAGTATTGAGCCTTTGTAAAATTTTGTTTCTTTAGTACTTTGCAACATACATAATGCACGCAGATATATATATATATATATATATTCAAATGTGAGTGTACAGTAGGTATGTCTTGTGGGGGAAAGTGACACAGTCTTCGATGCAGTCTACCTTTATGAGCAACAATCATCGTGCTTCCTGTCACCTCTGTGGCCAGAGCCTCAGCAGCTCCGAGAAGTCATCCTCTGGGGCCTCATTAGATTCCATCCCTAGGCCTGAGGTCCCAGTGGAGCTGGGAAGTTGAGGTTTCAGAATCTTTGACCAGCACCTTCATCCTTTCACCAGCTGTTCATCAGTTTTAGGATTTCACATACCTCTTCCACATTAGGTGATTTTTCCACATGAAAATGTCTGCTAGTGGCTCTATGTCCATACCCCATAAATTCTAAACAACTGGGTGAATAAAAATACCCCCTGCTACAAAGTGAATGAAACCTAGTGCCACATCCTGCACATGGGAATGAAGTAGAAGAGGGACATTTGTCCCCTCAGCCTACAACATGGGGAAGATCGGGTGCCCCCAGGCTGAGTTCACCTCAAAGGAAATCAGTGCAGGGAAAAACTATTTGTACAGCCCAGAGTGCAAGTCAGCACAGCGTGGTAAATCTAATGAGAACATCAAATAGAGGGCTACACCAGTATGGATCAGTGCACCTGGGTCATAAATCAAATTCTTTCTGGCCCACACACTGCCATCCCACATCTTGAGATGAATTTTTGCTAAATTACCTTGGAAAGAACTTTTTCTATTTCCTTTGCGGTTCCCACATTATATCTTCCATAAATCTTCTATCCACGGTTTTTCAAAGACTTTGCTCAAGAATATGTGCCTATAATTTTTTAATAAATAATGCAATAAATTAGAAGTTTGGGATTAACAGATACACACTACTATATATAAAATAGATAATCAACAAGGACCTACTATATAGCACAGGGAACTGTACTCAATATTCTATAATAACCTATATGGGGTAAGAATCTGAAAAAGAAAAAATCTGAAAAAGAAATCATATGTATATGTAAAACTGAATTCCTTTGCTGTACACCTGAAGCTAACACAACATTCTAAATCAACTATACCCCAATATGAAATAAAAATTAAATTAAAACATAAATAAATAAACATTTTTTAAATGTAAAAAAGAAGAGTGTGACTACAGACAAATTACCAGCAAGATATATTACTGCTTAGTTTCAAGCAGCCTATTGGCTAGTTGCAGTTCAGCCAATAAACTTAGAATATTTTAAAATCTAATAAATAAATAAACAGTGCAATGGTTGTGGGTATTTTAAGACTAGATTTTATTTTTTTCTGTAGAAGATAAATGTACACATAAAAAAATGTACACATACTCATTACAAACTAACTAGAGATAAAGGGGGGAAAATTTAAATTACCTGTAATACTCCCACCCAGATTTAACCACTGTACACATCTTAGGGTAGGGAAATGATTCTCAGCTGGGGGTGATTTTGTCCCCGATGGGACACCTGGCGATATCTGGAGACATTTTTGGTCGTCACAACTCTAGGGAGAGGGTGCTGCTGGCATCTAGTGGGGAGAGGCCAAGAATACTCTTCCACATCCTACGATGCCCAGGGTAGCCCCCCACAGCAAAGAGTTATCTGGCCAAAAATGTCAATAGTGCCCACACTGATAAACCCTGGTGTAGAATTTTCCAGACACTTTCAATACATTTATGTATCTATTTTTCCTCAAAAGAGGGATCCTACTGAACTTTTATAACTTGCTCTTTTCACTCACTCGAAAATATATAACTGTCTTAACTATACTTAGATTAACTTTATGAAGGACCAATCTTATTCAAACTAGAACAACTGAAATGACAGGTGATGAATTATTTTTTCTAAACTTAATGCCTTAAAACTTTTTTAGTCGAACAGCAACCAAAAGTTGGCATTATTAAGAGCAAAGTGATATGAATCCTTTAAAGAAAACTGAACCTCTCCAAAATGTTATTTCCTGGAACTCACTGCCTCTGCAGAGTGGCTGGATGACTCTTAGATGGTCGTGTATCTTCCCTTTGAGGGTGTTGGACTCCCCTGTGCTTAGTTTTGACCACCTTCCACCTTTCCTCTAAAGGTCTTCAGGATCTTCAGTGACAGATCCTTGAAGGCAATCTTGGCTTTCACTGTAAATCCTAGATAAACATTCATGTTTATCACTGAGTTTCCTCCTGATTCCTTTGCCTATGGCAGCCACAAGATTTCTTTTGTACTTTACTAGTTTTAGACTGCAACAAATCTTCCAGGTGGTTTTCATTTCTGAATGCCAGTAAAGATGGCAGGTTAAGGCTCTGAAAGCATTGCTTCATCCAAGGCTCCCTTCCAGGAGGGGTTACGTCGTGTTGGTGCCGGTTGAAGGAGTCTCCTTCTGTCCTCAGGCAAGGCTGCCTCTTCATGGGTTTCCCTAAAACCCTGTCTCTGGCACTTTGCTAAATTTGGAAACAGACGAGGTATTTTCTCCCTTACTTCCTCAACAGATTTCTTTTTGACATCTCAATCCGTCGTTCTCTAGATTAAGTGGTATTTGGTATTAAGTGGTATTAAGCCATATGTCCATCGTCTGGTGTTTGTGTTTTCACGCCCAGGCCACTGAGACAATGAACGCTGCTGGGGAGAGCTACCATCTGCCATTTGCCTGTCCCTGGAACTGACTTTTGTGGGACGTATGAATTAGCCACTGCTTTTAGAGGTCTCATAGAG